TCGACCACCCCCAGGCCCTTTCCCGCCGGGCAGCTCCCAGCCGCTCCTCCCCACGCCTGCAGCGGTGCCTGGGGTTGTTGTGCCCCAAGTGCAGGACCCGGCCCTGAGCCTTGTTGACCCTCACAGGGTTGGCCTGGGCCCATCGACCCAGCCTGGCCATATGCCAAAGGCTGAGCACAGCAGTCAGAATAAGTGCCTGCTGTATAAACCTGTGTGTACCTGTTTAGCCTCTGTCCGCTCACCAGGTCAACCGTAAGCAGATGCAAAGCCAGTAGCCATGGGACAGCTTTATCTACAAGGCAGGGATTCCAAGGGGCACAGCTCACAGTTCTGCTCTCACCCCTGTCCCGTCGTCCGGAGGACTGAAGGGCTGATGCTGTTAGTACAGCCCACTGAGAGGCCTCCAAGGAGTGTGTTTTTAGAGCAACGTAGGGGATTTAGACCCATGCATTTAACTCCTACACTGATCCCCTCTTCCCAGCAATCTGCCCCAGCAGCTTAACAAAACAGCGTTCCTGCAGCCCGTGTGCACTGCACCAGTTATGCGCTGCAGGCTGAGGCTAAAGCACAGGGCAGTGCAGAGAGACTCCAAGAGCAAAAGAAAAATAGGAAAATATATGTCTATGCAGATGAGAGAGCAATCAGCTGGAGGAAAGGAGGGGGAAAGCAGGCCTGGGGCATTCAGCGGGTAAAAAGGTGTTCCTCTAGCTGAGGAGAGGGCTGTCATTCTAAAGCCCTGTCAGAGAAGCTCTACAGGCACACGCGATGGTTACTTACGTCGTCCTCCGTGTCTCCACCTTGCATTGTTCCCACGATCCGTGCGCCAGCTCTTCCTGCAAGAGCAAAGAGAACCACCATAAAGCCTGGCTCATGGTTAATGCTGATGGAGCGTGAAAGATAAAGCTCGGAGTTTACATTTTGGAGGACTAGTTAAATGGCAGTGAGAGGATGAGAGCCCAATGCATGTAAGGTCACCCCCCCCTTTTTAAGCCTCAGAGCTCAGGAGAAGGTAGAAGAGGGTAAGGCTGACAGTAATTCCAGTCAGGATGGTATTTCCAGAGCTACCTTATGCCAGTATGACAGTTCTGACAGGACAAGAGGCAACGGACACATTAAGAAACAGAAAATTCTATCGGAACACAAGAAACCACTTTTTTTTTATTGTGAGGGTGGTCAAACACTGGAACAAGGTTTCCAAGAGGAATTGTGGAGTCTCCATCCCTGGAGATATTCAAAACCCAACTGGATGTGGTCCTGGACAACCTGCTCAGACCTCCTGTTTGAGCAGAGGGGTTGGACTAGATGATCTCAAGATGTCCCTTCCGACCTAAACAATTCTGTGAACTGGCATATTCCTTCCTCTGCTTTGGTACACAGAGAACAACAGCCCGTCTTTTCCATGTGGTAAGCCTTCTGTCCTTTAGAGAACTCACTGTGCTCAGATCCTCTCTGATGTGCCAGTAGGGACGGACATCTCACAGGAATCCTAGGCAGTGCCAAGGCAAACCTCAAGAATTTCTTGTTGAGAGTTGGATGTGCAAGTCTGAAGAGGGAGGTGGAGATCTCAGGGTTGTAGGGAGTTCACCGAAAAGGGAGAACACGCTTGCGCCTTGCTTGGTTACTTTTGGCTGTGTAGAGGCCATATGAAATGGGGAAGATGCTAGCGTGGTTTCTCTTGCTGGTCTCTTCTCCCCAGTAACAAGTGATAGGACAAGAGGAAATGGGCTCAAGCTGCGCCAGGGGAGATTTAGGTTGGATATTAGGAAAAACTTCTTCCCGGAGAGAGCGGTCAGGCCCTGGCCCAGGCTGCCCAGGGCAGGGGTGCAATCACAGTCCCTGGAAGTGTCCAAAACTGTGTGGATGTGGTGCTTAGGGACAGGGTTTAGAGGTGGCCTGGCAGTTAGGGTAGCGGTTGGACTCGATGATCTCAGAGGTCCTTTCCAGCCTTAACGATTCTGTGATTCTGTGAGTCTATGGTCTCCTTTGCTGGGAAGGGAGCCCGGAAGGTGTTGGGAATGGGTATAGCGGAGTTGTGACTGGGGAAATCCTGCGTGTGGGCTGAGCGGGTGACTCAGCCCCGGTGCCTGCAGCCACCAGAAGTCACTCGGCGCTAACCGGGTGCCTATTTAACAGTCCTGCTGTGACCATCACATTTCACCAGCTGTTTACCTCCTCTCATCACTCGGATTCTCTATGCCAAATATGGATTTTTCCAATCTAGACAAAACCTATTTTATTTTTTTTAGCATGAAAACAAAGCGACTTTAAAATATATCCTGTCAAACCTCTTTTATACCTCCCAAAGTACAAAAGACAGGTCCCTTTTGTCCCTTTTACAGATTGATTTGGGTTAGTTGTAGCAAAAAGCTGGCTAACTCATCCAGAAGTCCCCAAAAAACCCTCATTGCGCCAAGGCAGATAATTTAAAGGCTGTTATGTCTTTAAATAACAAGCGGTGTCCTCTGGTTGCTGATAACACAGGCAGCGGAGATGGAATTAGAAGAAGATTCCTCGACAGAAGATCTCTTTTCAAGCTTTAGAGACTTTTGCTCTAATTTATGCTAGACTAAACTATGTAAGCTTGGAGGTGATTACAACTGACATCATTAGATGGCAACGGAACCACATTTTTGCCCAGCCTACAGCTGGCTCCAAGAGTTTAACTGCAATTTTGCTAGGTAGAAGACTCAGCATAAAGTGTTAGATAGGGAATTATTACCTCAAAAGGAGAAAGCAGCAGGGTGCTCCTAAAATTTACTGCTAAGACAAAGCTAAGAGGGATCCGGAATATAAAAGAGAATCAAGATATCACATAGGGAGAGCTGATGAAACAGGACAGTTGAAAAATGCCAAGGGAAGAGCTCGGAGAATGCTAACAGAAGGTCTGCTGGATGCTGCTCTTCCGTCAGTGGAAACAGTAAGGATATCTTATGGGCATCCAACTGCTTATATCTGGAGGAAGATGAGAATCAGGTATCGCCCAGACTTTGATCCCTACATTGTTTAAGCCAGGAACACCTCTTTGAACTAGCGACTGTGGGATCAGCAGGATTATGTCCTGTAGCCCATCCCTGGGATGCTCCCAGGAGACACCCCGGGATGCCGAGGGCCTGGAGCTTCAGGTTCTGCACTATGCTGTAGATAAACAGGAGAGAAAGCAGATTTTCCGCATCGGTAGAAGAGCTTCCATGACAAAGGCGGGAGCGTTAGTTTAACTTTCAGATCGTAAACCCCCAAGATTCCGTGTGTGGGAGCGAGAGGAGCGACAGACGGACGTGGTGCATTTCCGTGTGTGCTGGGGGGAGGCGGGAAACACAGGACAGGGAGAGCTGGCAGGTCCGGGGGTGTCTGTCACTTAAAATTTCCTGGGTTCAATTTAGCTGGGGTCAGCTTGCTGCGGCATTAGTGCTGCACCACTCTGGCCACAGAAGCTCACGCAGCTTCTAAGCGGGCGAGAGCCTGTTACGCTTACTTACAGATAATGTGAATTCAGCCGGGACAGGCTGTACAAAGTGGTAATTAGGTAAAATATTAGTAATGAACAGACTGTAATTCACTGCACCTTTGGATTCAAATCTAATCTCCGTGCATCGCCACGGTTTATAGCCACCGAGCTATCAAAGATCAGAAGTGAACGTGCATCCACGATTTTAAGCCGGTGAGCATTTGCCATTTTTTCCTCTGCGTGTGATGCTTGCCATTGTACTAACCCGTGCCACTGCCTACAATGGATCCACAGGACTAGAATGATTTACGTCTTCTTACCCAGCAGTGGGTATATGTTAACCCTGTGCCTGACAGCAAGAAGCAACACTTAATCGGAGAGGTTAGGACAACCTACCATGAGGGGAAGGTAGATTTGCAGCTGAAACATTTTGCTCCCAGTTTGGAGATCCACATTCAAGTCTCCAGCTCTTAATGCAAATTCACAGCGTGACCTCAGGTAAGACGCCTCCCTTCCCTCCGCATCACCTCCGCACACAGAAAATTGGGATAAATCTTTTGCCTGATCCTTCTGATCTGCGCGCCCTTTGGGCTCTGCGTTCTTAAGTGCGACTGTAGCCCTTTGCACAAGGCCCTGATCTCCGCAGCATTTTCTAGGCATTGCCAAAGTACAATGATTAATTAAGCACACTACAGCAGCTGCCCAGGATGAGCGTACTTCTATTTATTTCTTATACCCTCCACGAAAAGGAAATTTGCTCGGAAGTAAGTAAGTCACATGTCTCAGTCCCACCATTTCAGACCTACAACCTCTCCGGGGTCCTCAGCACGGGAAGGACATGGAGCTGTTGGAGCGGGGCCAGGGGAGGCCACCGAAATGCTCCGAGGGTGGCACAGCTCTGCTGGGAGGACAGGCTGAGAGCTGGGGGGGTTCAGCCTGGAGAGGAGGAGGCTGCGGGGAGACCTCACTGCAGCCTTGCTGTGCTGAAAGGGGGCCGACAAGAAAGGGGGGGAC